TTTGAGTGTTTTCTGTGCATTCTGTGGTCCTGTTTGTGTGGTAGTCTATGGGTGCCGTGGCCCTGATTGAGTGGTAGTCTGTGGCCCTGTTTGAGTGGTAGTCTGTGGGCGCTATGGCCCTGTTTGAGTGGTAGTCTGTGGGTGCCATGGCCCTGTTTGAGTGGTTTCTGTGCACTCTGTGGCCCTGTTTGAGTGGTATTCTGTGTGCACTGTGGCCCTGTTTGCATGGTATTCTGTCCTTGTCATGCCTCTTCTTCCCTTCATGTTCCTTTTTCCATATTTTCTGTGAAAAGGGGATAGGAACAGTAAAACTATACAGAAGAGAAACAAATACCAATTTCTTGTAGTGTTTATTTTGTGATGTACAATTCTCTAGGCCTTTGACATGAAAAAAGGAAAAATAAAGAAAAAGCTTCCCACAGTTTGGGAAAGGGAGGGAAGCCTTGGAAGAAGTAGGCAGGCTCTTTCCAGATTTGTCACCTATGCATAGACTCAGATCTGTCGCCTACACATAGATTCAGATCTGCAGACCCACATAGAGGGTTGGCAGCAGGCAGGGTACAAGGCAGGTTGAAGGCAGGTCAAATCCTGTTGACTGTTTTGCTTGGCTTGAGTCATATTTGAAAAACATCCAAATTCATTCAAAACATAGACATTTTCATAATAAAAACTCAATTTTCCAGCTTTCCTTGAAGAATTGGGATCAGGGTGCTGGTGGTTGACGTCAGGGTGCTGGTGGGTTGATGGCTGCCTCTGTGAAAAGACCTGGCTCCTAGGTCATGGCACCTCCAGCATGGGACAGGGGCCCTGGGGTGTGCCGCTGTACCTGGCCTAGAAAGTTCTGGACTTGGACTTAGACCTGGGAGACTGGGGCTGGTGCTTCCTGGTCTCTCCTCTTCACCTGCTCCTGGCAGCCATGTGTGAGAGAGCACATCTTCAACAAGAGGCCCAGGGTACCTGCAAAAGATCAGATTCTCAGTGACGTAGGGACACGGGGACCTTTGGTCAAGTGGGCATTTGGGAAGTGGTGCTTAGTAGCAATCGTGAACAGGTAAGGGAATCTCTCTGCTGCCTTCTAAGATAGAATAAACCATTCCTTTCTTTTAAAAAGATTACAATGTGTTTTTAAAATGTGTTTTTAAAAATTATTATTATTTTACAAGACCCATGAAGTCTACGTGGTGCTTTATAGGGCATATCTGGCTACAGCTGGTGTACTTCTGGGTGTTTTATGGCAAATTATTCTCAGATTACCCTTTAATGCAGGAAGGTCTGCCTGTTGTCTGAGCTCCCTGGGTCATATGGAAACCCCTCTGACTTGATGCAAAACAGCTGCCTCAGTCAGCTGTTCCAAAAAAGGAGCACTTTCAGGCTGAAGCAGCAGGAGAAGTTTTGAAATGTTGAATTACTCTTTCCTTGCCATTAAAATGTGATTTAATTTTGATACTAACAAATTGTGTAAATCTAAAGTGAAGTACTCAGAATGGAGTTTGTTAAGTGTGTTCTGGCATTACTTACAGTATGCCCTGGGGGGACATTCCCCAGGGAGGACAGCACAAAATTTCACTGACCTCCATGTCCCAGGACCTCAGCCCAGCTGGGCCAGGGTCAGGGGCCAACCCATGGGCCTCCCCTCCTTCTCTTCTGGGTCCCTGCTGAGATAAGCAACAAAGGGGTCAATTGTCTGAGGCCTCCTTTTGTCTGAGGGTCTCCATGAGCCTCTCTGAATGCCAAAGTGTATCCATGCGCATGGATGAGCATATATGTATGAGTGTGCATGTGCGCATATGTTGTGATACACACGTGTGTGCATGTGTGTGCATATGCATATATGTATGCACATGTGAATGGACATGCACATAAGCACTAAAAGACTGCATGTGTGCATGTGCATGTCTGAATGTGGACAAGTATACGTGTATGTGCCTGCATGTGTGCACACGTGTGAATGTTCATGTGTGGGTGCAAGTGTTTGCACACGCAGAGGCAGTGGTGAGGCTTAAAGAGTTTTTGAGTTGCAGATACGTGAGAGCAGGCGAGGGGCCTTAGAGGGGACTGACCAGATGGTGGAGGTTCCTAAGGTAGAGGAGGAAAAGCATCTCATCTCTCAGGAGATCACACAGTTGCCTTTACCTGGCATTTGCTATGGCACAAAAAGCCTAGAGATTCTCCTACCTCCCCTGCTTTCTCTGTAGGAATGAGGAAGAGCAGGCATATGGAAGCTTCTTACACAGTTCATTTGCCTCATTGGTCTGTTGCAACCTGGGATTTCAGGGGAAGACCCACAAGAACTTTTCTACACTGTTCCAGCCTCTTCAGGCCTTCCTCATTGGACCCAGGGCATTCTATGTGATATTTCAGTCATGTTTCCAGAATGACTGTGAAATACCCTGTTCCCATCCATTCTGGAACTGGGTTCCCATGTAGCATGGGGGTTTTTCCCCTTCCCCAGCTGTCCTGTGCCCTTGCAGGGCCTGTTCATGCAGAGGCCGGCCGGGAGCCCTGGCTGCTCTGTCATTTGGTTTGAGCCATTCCTGTCCACTGGAGTTTCTTTGATTCACACCTTCTTCCTTAACAAGCTGTCCTTTTAAGAACGACAATAAAACATATTTTATTCAGAAGCCAGGAAAAGACTCATAAAAACGCTTCATTGAAATTCATCTTTGTGAAAGATTCATCTTGCAGCCCCTTTAACCAGCACAGCTGTCATGAGCAACTTTTTCTGTGTGTTTTTTTCTTCTTGTCCTTCCCACCCCATTTCCTCTCCCTACTCCAGCAAGGGCTTATCTTTCAACTGTGGAGAAGCCACCAATTAAACTCTACTCCAAAGCTTATCAAAATATTCAGTCAGTAAAATTATCTTATAATTAGCCTCACTGTAAACCAGAACGTTTTAATCCCAGGAAACGGAAAGTTATCCGGCATGTAAAATCTGTCAATTGCTCATCCTGACCTTCTGGCTACAGTTTCTGCTTTTATTTCTTTCCCAAAGTAATTTCTTCCTTGTTCTTCAAATTCTTGATTGTCTCTGAGGCATCTTCCTCTTCTGTTTGCTTAAGTTTCAAAGAAAATTTACTCCTAGTTGAGAGAGAGAATTGAAAAATTCAGGTGAATCACCCTGATTTCATATATTTCATGCCTTCACTTGTAGCTGTTCTTTTTGCAAACATGAGCCTCTGATTGCTGATGGCTCGTCCTTGTTGGTCTCGTACTTTGGATTCCTGCAGTGATACGCATGGCTGAATTTTTCTGGAGCCCAGCTATTCAAACAGTATCTGGGGGTTCTGCAGGATGTCAAGCTGGACAGGGGTGTTGGACTTTCTTATTTCAACCATTTCTCTTCTCATAGCTCTCCCTCCCCATTCACCCTTTCACTGCCAGGGGACCCTCCTGTCACCCTACACCACCTGGGACAGCACCATGAATGTTACGTCCCCACCCCAATCCTGTTCAGACCAGCATCAAGGGAACCATAAATGATGTTTTGGGATCTTAAGGTGGAACTTAGACTTCGGCTACAGAAATGATATTCGGATGATGCTTAGGTTCTTAACTATTGTGAGCTTCTTAAACTAGTCTTGCTGTAGGTATGAGTGGGCTAATGAGACTTACACAGGCATGTTTGACCATTCATCGCTTGTTGCATAACAAAATATTTTCTAAGTTTCCAAAACTCATTGAAAAATTAAATTCTGGAATGTACTAACATTTTGATAAATGGAATATTGCCTGAATATAGTGTTACTAGTGGTAGTTATTATTTACAGAGTTTTTCCTATCTGTCACACAGTAGTCATACACATACACACACCAAAATACAAACACACAAATATACAAAAATTGCTTCATCCTTACATTAATTCTGTGAGAAAGTAATTATTCTGCCCATTTTACAGTTGGGAAAATTGAGGCTCCAACAGTTTCAATAACTTGCTGATGCAACTGAACTTGACTGGCTGGCCTGACTCTTACTATCCCTTCTGTGAAGTATCCAGGGCCCATGTCATGTGATTTGACCCCCACTTATGCTTGAGAGGTTTCCGCATCCCCCCCTGCAGAGTAAAGAGGAAATCACAGCTCACCTCAACTTCCACTTTTTGCTGGGCCCAACAGCTGAGTGCACCATATCTTGATGTCACATGTGAATTTCAGGCTCAATTTATTTGCTGACCTCAGAGCTGAGGCTTGCTGGCCTTGAGCTTACAGTATCAATGTGAAGGCTGTGATGATCCCGTAGGGAGACTCTGGTCCAGGTGGTCTGGGCTCCACTTAGTGCTCCTAAGGTAGGAGATAGAGAAGGGACCAGCTCCTAGGACCCCACCATGTGTGGCTGTGTTCCCCTAATGCCACCCTTGGAATTGCCACATGCTCCAATTCCATGTTTTTGTGACTGTGTCTCAGAGCAAGAAGACCCATATTTTGGAAGGCATTTCTTTTTTTTCTTTCTTTCTTTTTTTTTTTCTTTTGAGACAGAGTTTCGCTCTTGTTACCCAGGCTGGAGTGCAATGGCACGATCTCGGCTCACCGCAACCTCCTCCTCCTGGGTTCAGGCAATTCTCCCGTCTCAGCCTCCTGAGTAGCTGGGATTACAGGCACGTGCCACCATGCCCAGCTAAGTGTTTCTATTTTTAGTAGAGACGGGGTTTCACCATGTTGACCAGGATGGTCTCGATCTGTTGACCTCATGATCCACTCGCATCGGCCTCCCAAAGTGTTGGGATTACAGGCTTGAGCCACTGTGCCCGGCCTTTGGAAGGCATTTCTATTGAGAGACACCTCCTGTCTAATCCAAAAGTAAATATTTTATGCCTCTTTAAGTCTCTATAAAAATACAAATTTTCTTTAGGAACTAAGTTGAAACTAAATATGTCATTAACATATGTTAATTTTGAAGCATTAACTGTGGAAATCTTTAAAACATAATTGTGTTGTTTATTTTCTTGTGAATTCTGCATATTCTTGATATTACTTAATTTGTTTTTCTCTCTTTTTAATTACAGCTTGGGTTGACAATAGCCATTCGCTATAGCCACAAGTAAATGTTTACCTTTTTGTTTCTTTTAAGAATTATCCTTACCAGTTTGTAGCTCTTGGTTTGCTGAAGTCTCAGGTTTTGAGCTCTTTTTCGGTGGCTGCTTCCCTGTGATGTCAGTGTCACAGATGGAATTGTTCTAGTTGCTTGATTGGCAACAGCATATTGCTATTTAGAGGAATGAGGTCTTGTGAGAACGTGGTGGTCGATAGCACATTTCTTTTTTTTTTTAAAGGGATATTCTAGGTCATGACACAGAAGCACTATCTGGGTAATGTTCTCACTCTTAAGAGTGAGACACTCTTAGCGTGTCTCCGAAAACAGGAACACCCTGCATGAGAGGTGAGTCCGAGCAGAAAGAAACCCAGCAAGAGTTTGTCTGTGAAGCCCTAGCCACCCACTCCATGCTGGGCTTCTCTCTCTGTGTCTTAGGATGTCTGACAATGGCAAAAAGCCCTATTTTTGTCTTGCTTCATGATTTCTACCTTGGTCTAAACTGTATCACACTGATGAAAAATGTTTGTTTTTTTGTGTTGGTATCAACCCTTTCCCCTTTGCATGCATCAAAATGCATTGAGATGTTAAAGTAAGATCCAGCCCTAGCAGAGGGGTGATAAGCAGGGTCCTTCCTGTCCTTACAAAAACTGTGCTCACAGCCTCCCAAAGTGCCACTCTCTGGTCATAGGCTTTGGGCTTGGGGATGTCTGCTCAGCTGCCCACAAACAACCCAGGTCACCTAATTTCAAAACAAGTTTTCCTCCTAAAAATGCTCATAACAAGGGTATGCATGATTTCAGTATACATGTGAATTGGGCAATTGTAGGCAATCCCTGAGATCTAGAAAACTGCAGGGTAGCCATGTAGATTACAGCAGGAAGAGGGCAGGAGAGTTCTCAGCCCTTGGAATGAGACTGTGGGAAGAAATGTGCTTATGTGGGACATATCTGGAGACTTGTGAAAGAAACTGCTCCAGAGAGGCTCAAGGTCATGGAAGGGAAAGAAATATATTTTCCTGGCCCGTTGCTGGGTACATGGCTGAGTCCCCATAGAAAAGTCAGATTAACTAGAGAAAGCATGCAGATTTATTTAATACAAGTTTTACATAACATAGGAGCTCTCACAAGGAACTAAAGACCCAAAGTAACAGAGGAACCTGTATGTTTTTAATGTTAGTTTGATGGAGAAGTGGACAGTTGTGGAGATGGATAATTGGACAGAGCGGGTATGATCTAATGGTGATAAACTGGGTGGGAGATTGAGGACTTAACAAATTTAGCCTGTTTGTTCAGATTCTTCTCTGTGGTCCTGTGTCTTCAGAGATAAGTATTTCTCTGGGTATTTGGAGGCTACCCTTCAAATGAGTTTTATGGCTTGTATCAGGGGAAGAGGGGAAGGAGAAGGTGATCATGACCTTCCTGCTTCTGTTGTTTTCTGAAATGTCAAGGTGCTGTTTTCTCAAATGCTGAGGTGCCCCATCAATTGCTTGTATGTTTCCAGTTCTATGCATGCATGATGCCTGCCCATGACAAAAGTGTGGCATCCTGCAAAAGGGTGCTTTTCCCTTGTAAGCCCAGCTAGGCTCCTGTAGCTGCAGAGGTACATAGCTACAGCACACTTAGGAGGAAGTATGGTACGCACACAGACCTCTAACCCTAAAGCCAACTGTGTGTGTGGTATCGTGGGGTATGGTGGGTGTGAAGTGCTCTCTCCGGAGCTTAGAGGAGTCTGTTTTTCTAGAATGTTCTCAAGGTGGGCTGCTCCAGAAAGAAGACAGCTAAGATCTTGCTCTGGTTCAGAGACAAGCATGCTCTTCCCAAGGATGTCTCACTATCTTGCAAGGGCTGGTTTTTAACTCCTAGACTCAAGCAATCAACTTGCCTCAGCCTCCCAAATTGCTGGGATTACAGGAGTGAGCCACCATGCCTGGCCAATGGAGCCTTCTGAGAGGAAGTAAGTCTTAAACCATCATCATTCCTCTAAAGTGTGAAAGTGGCAGAAAGCCCAGCTGACTCGAAGATGCCCCTGATAGGCTGATAACAAGTGTCTCTCCGAACACATAGTCTTTAAGTTGCTGTCTGGCATTGCTGTGGAGGAGAGGGAGAGTTTGGGGAGAGCATGGACGTGTGGGGTAGATCCTGGCTGCCTCAGATTGCTTCTGTAGTCCTACTAGTTCAACCTTGACCCCAAAATTAGAACTATTCCTCAAACAAGCCCTGCAGAGAACTGGACTGAATGCAAGGAGGAAGTTAGCAGCTATCTGTTGTACATGAGCTTGCCTCTTCAGGCTCCAGCCCCAACCTTCTGTGCTCTCCTCTCAACAGGAGATATCCTAACACATGTGGCTTCCCTGCTGTGTTTCCAGGGTTGTTTGTCTCCAGGCTGTCTTTACCACCTTTAAGGTGTCAAGTGCAGAGCACTTAACAAATATCATGGATATTTATGTAAGTGCAACAAAAAACAAACAAAAATCTCAGTAAGTGGGAGAAATGACAACTGAAAGTGATGAGATTGAGGAGATGGAAAGTGAAGACATCTGTGGAGTCTCCCTTGCAAGTTCCAAGGTCCTTCACCATCTCCCCTGGGGTCTGGGGACCAGGGAGTAGGTGGTGGCCCAGTGAAACCGGTATCCACAAAAGGCTGCCCTCAGCAACTGGCGTCATCTGTAGAGGAGTCTGAAGATTTGGGAATGACAAAGACTGATTAGAAAGTGATTGCAGTAACTCAGAGACAGCATCAGGACTTTCTAGGCTTGGCTGTGCCTCTCACAAAATGTGAATGTCAGACGATTCACACATGCCAAGCTGAGGAGAGTTACTGAGGAGCATGTGATCTGCCTGAGGACTGACATCTTCAGTACTGTGGAAATGGAGAAGGGATGATCAAAGGGTTGTGTTTTCTAAAAATTACTTCTGAAATATAAGGAATTCTGATTTTAAAATTCTGGAAAGTACAACCGCATTTGTAAATTTGTGGTGGGACAAACCTACCTTCTGGGAAATCCCCATTTTCCCAGAATTGATGACACTTCATGAGGCATCACTGAAGAGCTGTTTGCAGGTCAGGCCTCTTTTTCCCCATGGGCACAGGAGGAACTGACCTTTCCTCTTAGAAGCCTGCAGGTCACCATGGCTCTTCTTTTTTTTTCTTGAGACAGAGTCTTGCTCTGTCATCCAGGCTGGAATGTAGTAGCATGATCTCAGTTCACTGCAACCTCTGCCACCTGGGTTCAAGCAATTCTCATACCTCAACCTCCTGAGTAGCTGGGATTACAGGCACCCACCACCATGCCCTGCTAATTTTTATATTTTTAGTAGAGACAGGGTTTTACCATGTTAGCCAGGCTGGTCTCGAACTCCTGACCTCAAGGGAACCACCTGCCTCGGCCTCCCAAAGTGCTGGAATTACAGGCATGAGCCACCATGCCCGGCCATTGTGACTCTTCTGCTCCTTCTTATACCTCGCCTTTCCACCTACCTCTCCCCTCATCCAGGAAGAAGGAGATGAGGGATGTAGGTTTCTGGTTGAGTTCCCTCTTTAAAAATCCTATTTGCTTGTTTGGACTGGCTGAAACTTCTATCCTTTTGTTGATTACTTTTTATGTGCGTTGTGAAATTTGCCTAACATCAAATTAGCCATTTGTTTTAGTCTGTTTGTGCTGCTATAACAAAATACTATAGACTGGGCACTGTATACAGAACAGAAATTTGTTTTTTTACAGTCCTGGAGTCTGGGAGGGCCAAGATGAAGGTACCAGCAGATTCAATCCTCTGGTGAGGGCCTGTTCCTTGCTTCCAAGATGGTGCCTCGTTGCTGCAGCCAGGGGAAGGGAGGAGGGCTGTGTTCTCATGTGGCAGAAGGGAGACGTGCAGAGGGGAAGGCTTCATGAAGCCTCTTTTAAGTGTCTTCATCTCATTCATGAGAGAGGGAGCCCACGTGGCCTAATCACCTTTTAAAGGCCTCACCTCTTAATATTGTCACGTTGGCCATTAAGTTTCAACACCTGAATTTTTGAGGGAACACATGCAAACCCTAGCACCATTTTAACAATTTCAAAGTGTATAGTTTAGAGGCATTAAGTACATTCTCACTGTTGTGCAATCAACATCACTGTCTCCAGAACTTTCCAGCATTGCAAACTGTAACTCCATACCCATTAATTAAACAAGAAATTCTCTTCCCTAACCCCTCTCCAGTTCCTGAAACCACCATTTTACTTCTTGTGTCTATAAGCTGGACTAGAATAGTCCAGCTATTCCACTATTTCATACTAGCGGAATAATATAGTATTCGTCTTTTTGTGACTACCTTGTTTTACTTAGCATAATTCTTCAAGATTCATTCATATTGTAGAATATATCGGAATTTTATTCCTTTTTAAGGCTGAATAATATTCCATAGCATGTATAGGCCACATTTTGTTTATTCATTCATCCAGCAGTGGACACTTGGAATGTTCCCACCTCTTTGTCATTGTGAATAATGCTGCTATTAATTTGGATATACAAATATCTCTTTGACACCCTGCTTTCAATTATTTTGGGTACATACCCAGAAGTGGAATTCTCAAATCATGGGGTAATTCTAAGTTTCAGTTTTTGAGGAGTGGCCTTACTGTTTTCCTATTGATTATCATTTCCCTTGTCATGTTGACCCAGATCTCAGATGCCAGAGTTGAGGGCTTTCTGGGTCTTCTTTGTATAGGCAGGGATACCTTTGGCATCAAGATTTGGGACTTTAGATTCTGATGACCAGATCTGCTTCCAAAATTCTAACAAAAGTGTCAGGACCAAGAGAGATGGTGGAGAAAACCCCAGTAGGCTCCTTTAGAAGATGGGAGAGGGGATGAAGGAAAGCAGGACAGGAAAACGTGGTCCTAAAATGACAGTATTGGAAAGATGGGTTTATTCTTGAAGAAGAACAGATTTGGGGGTCTTAAAGGAGATGAATGTGGGGAGGAGGGAAAGAGGTTGCTACAATTCTATAACCTTGGCTAGCCAGCAGTA